GAGTTAATGTCTTAGTTCCATACTGCAGTGTGGACAGCGAAAAAGTATCCCCAGATCCACTGGGTTACTGCCTGGTGTCACTGGGTGAATTGAATTAGGCTTCTGAGCTGAAAGCTGTCCCAGTACAGCTTGTGTACAAGCACACACAAGACTTACAGGATACTTTTACAATTAAGAAAGCAAACATTATTTCTGGGCTTTGATTTTTAAAACATTCTCTTTAAAAATTGAGCTGATGAACTGTCATCTCAATGAGGACAGTCAAGACATCTGTGTAGGTGAACTTAAAGCATTTTCTGCTGATTGTTATAAATATCTGAGGCTGATGGGCAACTAAATATTCTATGTTTCATATTACTCTTCTTCAAGTCATAAACAATGTTTGCCCTGAAGGTAGCTGGGTGGAGGAAATCTGAGAAACCTGGAAAACAATTTCAAATCTTTTTATCCCCTATGTTTTACCAGCAGCCTGAAACACATTTCAAGTGTATCTGAATCAGTAGCTGTAGGCATGAACCCCGAGGTAAGGAAACCAGTTTCTTAATGAGGTTCCAGAAATGGACAGCTCTACTGGCTGCTCTTCCTAGAGGATGCACAGACTCCTTTCAAAAGCTTGCAATTTTAAGCTACAGTTACCATTTTAGCTATAACAATCCTGCTTTTTTTCTTCAGGAGGAAGGGATGAAAATCATGGTATGTCTTAAAGCAAGATACACTTCACATGTAACTCCACAATGCACCTGGAAGGAAAAGCACCCAGCTGGCTTAGGGCCCAGTGCTAGGGAGCTCTGAAGCAAAATTGCAGTAGTCATAGCATTTTAAAGCAGAAAGACACAAGAGAGACAACCTTTGCGTATTCTGTGTTGTTTCTTTTCTTTTTCTCCTTATAGTCATAGAGACTAGGATACTTCCTACTGTCTGCTTTACCCTGTCTTGCTCTTTTCTTACCCAGCACTGTATGATAGACCAGCTGGGAATCAGAGACTTACCTTTCTCCTTTTCCATACTATGCCTTTAACATACACTGATAAAAACAGATTCTGTTTCAAAACCGTCTCTGGGAGCCCGAAGCTGGATTTTCATATGTTGTTCAACTCCTTGAATGTAAAAGCTGTTGGAGTTTGAAAGTGAAACAGGCTAGTTGTTTGCATGTCATTCAGCTTCAAATACAAAAAGAAGCTGTAGCCAGATTGAAAAGTGGAGTGAGAAGATTTTACAGTTTTTTGTGGGTCCTTGTGTTGCTGATAGTTTACCAGCCAATTAGATTTTTGTCTTTCTTTAGAATGTACAAAACAAGGATCAGTTGTGCTGTGCTAAACAACTGCATGTGCCAAACAAGATTTTAAGACAGTTGTTCAAACACTTCTGTTTTCCATCCTCTGACTGAAGCTGGCTGCAATTCATCGTTGGGATTTTTTTTTTTTTTTTTTTTTTTTTTTTTTTTTTTTTTTTTTTTTTTTTTAGTTTTAGTTCTGTTCATCCTGATTTCTCACTTGCCCTCCTAACTGCTGAACTGCAAAGCACAAATACTAGTCAAGTCATTACTACATTGATTCCTTTACTTTATTCAGGAGAGATGCTCAGTGGATTTATGTAATGGTGAGCTATGTGATAGCACAACCAGCATGCTAAAAGTGGTATTTTTAACTGTGTGCTTGGAAGCAAGCAGCTAGGCTGCCTGGCAGAGCTGTGATGTACTCTGGACCCTCATGGAAGACCCTGTCTTGCTTATACATGTACTGCTCTGGGAGACAGTCCATCTGATCATGGTTTTCAGATTCAGTTTCAGTTCAGTTGGAGGTAGACTCCATTCTGGTCCCCAGCCAGCTCTTCCTAGATAACTTGTCAGCAGTTGAACAGAATTTCAAACTGAATTCTGTGGTTTCCTGACAGACCTGCTTTTCCCCTTGCCCAGTTGCTCCCATCAGTGAGCATACAGTCCCGTGTACTGCTCCAGGGTCAGCCAGCAGTGGGAGCGTGACGGGGACTGCAGGGACTGCTGCACTGATGCGCTATGCAGTTACTGCAGACACTTTAAATAGAAGGGACACTGGTGATTCCAAATGTGGGAAAAGGCTCTTTGAATGACAGAACAATTCTGTCTTTGTGATTACTGTATACAGAAGCTGGACTAACCCTTAGTAGTTTAACTAAACTTTGAGCCTGTATTTTCTTCTTTTTCTTCTATATGTTTTCTTTTCTAATTTACCTTGACCCTTCTCTTCTCTGTCCTTTTCTTACCCTACTCTGCAGCTGATGGAGCAGAAATCAACTACCTCATTACATAGTGACCTAGAAAGCCAATAGCTTGCATCAGCAAATCAGTACCACCTGTGCATCTGCCTAAAATAGATTAATGAATTTATTAAAGTTTTGAGGAAGGGATTGTTTTGCTTTTGCTATTGCTTCCTTTATTTTTCATTGTAGGTCAGTGCATATATATTTTTATTTTTCATAAAGAAATGAGTTATTTTAAGTCAAAACACACTGATTTATGCTTATGCTGCCTATTCTGGATAACTGAATGCAGCTGAAATGTTGAACTGGGACTATAGATCATAGTACAAGAGGATGCATATAGAGGAAAAAAGTCACATCTGAATTTGGGAGACAAGCAAGGAGTCTTGGTTTAAACTTACTACCTAACTTTTTCAGATTTGCCTCAACTGGCACCAAAGAGAGCATGAGCAATAGATCTCCAAGGCTAAATCTGTCATACCCAGCTACTGAACCCATTTCTGTGATCCAGAGCAGTCTTTCTCCTGTTGTCCATGAAGTTATGGCTAAAATTCCATAGCTATTTATATACAACTGTTATATAAAAGAAGGAAATAATCATACCTGAATGTTCAGATCTCTCCTGGAAACATGTTTATATGGCAGTACTTCCAGAACATAAGCATCAACACAGTGTTGCTAAATTGATAAGCTTCTCATGCTTATCCCAGTATACAACGTGTATCCATTATCATGTTTGGTCTGTTGCCACTGTGCCTTTTGTAACACAGAACTGAGTCCTGAAGGCCCAAAATTCCTGTTAATCCTTGTCAGTATCACAGTTCAGAGCCAGAGGCCAGAGCCTCTCCTGAACATTGGTAAGAGGACATTTTGTGAAGATATAAAGGATTTGGTGGGGAGGGAAAGGACCATGTTGATGAAAAACAGATTAGAACCAACCTACTATGTCAAAAAATTGGATAAATAATACTCAAAGATGCTTATATTCCAAATGTACTACAAACACTTGTTCCTTTTTAAAGAGGCAGATTAAAATCCACTGTGTTGCTTAATAATCATAGCTCAAGTAAGTTGCAAACTATTTTGTAAATCTTATTTCTAACTTAAAGCCTTGTTTTTCTGTTATAGTAAGTAGCCCTTGCTAAAGAGCTGACTAGAAAAGCTGATTTTGAGAGTGGAACACTGTTGTTCAGTAAAATAGTAAAGCATAACAAATAGTAAGCTCATGAGCATAAATTAAACTAGCCTAACTCCCCTTCAGTAACTTCTACCATACTTTGGAATGGTGGAGCTGTCAGTCTGTGACCAGCATGTAAGTTTTAAGGGACTTTCAGAAACATAGCCCAAATTAAAAAAATAAAATCACTATTACAATTCTGCTTGGGTGTGTATTGTTTTGTGCATATGTATGCACACAGAGCTGATCCTCATCAGTGAGTGGTAGCTGAGCTGGATTAGATGCCAGAAGGAGTTGGAGTGTTCACTAGCCTACCAGGAACATTAGGCTGCGACTTCCGCAGGCTAAGACTGCTCGCCTGCCTCCCAGGCCTGTGCTTGCTCAAGCTGCATAGTGCTGTGTGGCGCCACAAAGGCCAGCCTTTGGGATATAGTTTATAACCTAATTTACTGGTATAAAACAATTAAAGAGTTTCTTCCTGCTCTGCCCTGCACCCCAGCTGCCTGTTAACAGCCGTGTGCCAATACACCTGTTTCCTGGAGCTGTGCACAAAAAAACGAAAGCTAAAAATTCCTTAGTGGGGGCAGGGGATGACATTTGAGGATTATTTGCAACCAGGGCATCATAGTGTGTTCCTTCCCTTCACTCCCCTTTACAAACATACATGAAAAACTGAACAGGCTTGGATCTGTTTTATACTGTTCTTTCTATGTGGCTTGGCTGTCTATGAATGTACCAGAACTCTCTCAATAGTTTCTTTTGCTTCAGGTTAAAGCAAGTTAAAGTTTCCTGATTGTGGGGAGGAAAGGGGACTAAGCTTTCTCAATTTATTCTTAAAAATTCAGGGAAGCCTAGCACAGAGCTTAATACCCAAGATGTTTCAAACAGGAAGCAACAAGTTAATCTTCATAATCAGAAGGGTTCTGCTCTGAGTTTGCAGGGGGTGGTGAGCAAACCACTTCCAAAGGCAGTGAGACAAGAGCTGCTACAGCAGCTTCACGGTGCTGGAAAGTCTGAGCCTTTGCCTTAAGCCACAGGTTCAGTTTTACAGAAACCTCCACTTTGGTTCAGTCTCAGCTAGGGGAAATGAAGTTGTGTTGCACTCACACTGCTCCAAGCAGTAGTAGTGAGTCAACCAAGATTTGTCATTTTGAAAGGGCAGGAGTAAATTTTAGTCATCATAACAATTCCTATGGCTTCTAGACAGGGAGATGGTGACAGAAGGCTCCATAGTGGAGGTCTGTACCAGCTGGGCAGACTCATCTGAGCTGGTTGTACACTGCAGACCAAGTCTATGCATAAACTAAAGCAGCAAACCCTATTTACCCTCTGTCTGACAACGTTCAAGCCAAAAACTCAAATACACCGATGTTCCAGTTATACCTGAAACGGGAACCCAAAAGTGAAAATGAAATGCTGTGAATGACTGACTTCCTATATGAACACTGGAATAATTAATGCTTTCCTTACTGAATCACATAGCAATAATGTATTTTAAAGTTCATCTGCTGTAAGTACACAGATAGCAGTGTCATTCCTGTTTATACCATTTCTTAAGATTTCTTCCCATCTGTTTTTCCAGACTGTTCTTCAGGGGATTATTTTACTACCCCTCCGTGCCACATGCATTGCATTCATTATACTGCTAGCATGGCTGTTTGCATCAATCGCAACTTTCCGTCACCCTGGAAAAGGATCTGTGCCACTTAAAGGATGGAGAAGGTAAAAGTGACCAATATTTGTGAAAACTGCGTTGGTTTTTTTTTAATAACACAAAGCGAGGGGCTAAAGATTCCCCCCCTCCTTTCTTTCTGCCTTTTGATTAAAGAGGAGTCCTCAGTCAAATCTTAGTTTTACCCATTTAGCTGAAGTAACTTTTTGAAGAGTATATTTTACAGCAATAGTGGAGCTTTTTAAATAGGTAGATTTTCTGTTGTCTTGAGGCTAAAACAAATCTGTATAAAAATCTTTATAAACTATTTATAAGCTAGGATTTATTTTAGTAATAATACCAATAGGTATATTTGAGAAAAGAAACTCAATAGGAAAAGTATTTGGTAATGGTACATACACTGTTCCTGTGTAGCCTTTTTCATTGCCGCTATGGTATAATTTATGACAAAATTAGCTTTGACAGCTCCTCAGCTGTCAACTCTCTCAGCTATGTTGCCCTTGAAGAAGTATTTTACAGCTGCCTCTGCAGGTTCTGGGTTTCAGTCACTCAGCTTCCGACCTCAGAGTAATGAAGTTCCCTCCTAGCTGCAATGCACTGCAGCTGCACACAGGAGGAGGGGACACAGGAAGGGAATTCTAACGAGGCCATGAGATTACAGTAAGTCCCATGAAGGCAATACGTATCCTGATCAGGGAACATGTTCCAGTAAGGGAACATTGTTATTTCATCTTACTTGTTTAGAACTGATAGTAAAAGAATAGTATCAGAATTACCTAAATTCTTACAGAGAGGACACTGAATCTGCTAATTACCCACCCCTCACAATAGTGTTATGCTACAATGCTCTAAGATACTGCAAGAGAAGTAGCATACCTGGGTTTAGCAAGGTGCAGTACATTGCCTTATCTTTAAAATTATAATCTGGTTTCAACATGAAAAGGTGATGCTCCATTCCCTACTTCTACTTCTTCCTCTTCAGGCCTGTGCTCTCCCATTGAGTAGTATTGCTACCCTGTGCCTGGTCCCAGAGCTGGTGAGAACTAGGAAATCTTTATGGGCAGTTCTTTTAAAGTACAAAAGAAATACTAACTGTAAAATGGATGATATTTTTGTGTTTCTGTTTACAAGGAGGATGATCCAGACAACCCTCACATACCTAACTCGTACCCTGTTCTTCGTAATGGGTTTCCAAGTTAAAGTAAAGGGGAAAATAGCAAGTCTACTGGAAGCCCCAATCTTTGTTGCAGCTCCTCATTCAAGCTTTTTTGATGCCATTATTTCTGCCCTAACTGGAATGCCATCAATAGTGTCTAGAGCAGAGAACCTGTCAACTCCGGTATTTGGCAGTAAGTATTTGTGAAAAAAAAACTAATGCTTTGAGTCAGCAATTTGACATGAGGCCAAAAATCATATATCTGAAAGGGATTTAGGGGCAGACTTTTTAAAATCCTTAGATTCCACAGATACTGACAGATCATTTCCAGTGAAATCTCTGTGACAAGTTATCTTTCTGAATTGCTCAATATATCTAGAAATACGCTGTTTCTTTTCAAGTATGGAATATAGGTAGCTTGAGAAATCTGTTCGACTGCTGTCTTTTAACAGTGTGGCCCACAAATGTAGAACGTGGATTAGTGAAGGTTATTTCAAAACAGACCCAAACTACAGCAGTCTGGAAAATACCATATTTATAAGTTTAGACTTGCAGGCACTGTTATGGGGTTTTTTTTTTAATGGAAGTCAAACAAAGAAAGAATAAAAGAGAAGTTACTCAAAAAGAAAGTGCAGAGAATGAGAAAGATTGGATGACTCACACTTCTATTATTTTCTCCTCCTTTTGGCACAAAAAGAATCCCTGTTTGCGTTATTACTAGAATCAGCTGTAGACTTTCTGCTGGCTGTACAGTAACCCAAAACTAAACACAGCAGGCAACATAGAAAAGTGTCATTATAGGAAACAAACTAACAGATAATATATTCTCTTAAAAGTTCAGGAGTGGGACATAGAAAATAATTCTTTGCCAAATTTCTCATCACATCTTAAAAGGTCCACACATTCTGATGTAGACTTCTGATTAAACGAGGGGCTTTCTTTTCTGTAATTTACACAGAAGCTGCACATGCTTTGTAACTGAAAAGGGACATCTTCAGCACAGGCTCAGACTACTTGTTGGTTGCAGTCTGCATGAGTTAGGCCTGAGTGTGGCCCATGAATAGAGACCCGATCAGGTCTTTTCCTTAGAATTGTGTGGAAATGCCCAGTGAAAAATAACAGCAATATTAGTAGAATGTGTTTGGCTGACTTTGGCATGCTTATACCCACTGCAAATCTCCTCAGCTGGCAGTGTAGGTAGGTCTTCTATGTCTTCCCTTTTTGCAGACTGAGAACAAAAATAACAGTCTTCTTATCTATTTAGTCTGAAAGACGTTTGTGCAGAGTCTGTTTCTTAGCAAAAATTTGTTATTCTCATACTACAAGGGAGCCTTGAACTCATGTGTTTTCTAAGGACTAGTATAAGACAAATAAAAATGTTTCTCTCTTTTACAGCAATTTTAAGTTCCCTTCAGCCTGTATCAGTTTCTCGTCAGGACCCTGATTCACGGAAGAATACAGTCATCGAGATAACTAAGCGAGCATTATCAAGAGGCCAGTGGCCACAGGTAATAAATATACTACTATTCTCTTGTCATGTGTTCATATTCCATATTCACTGTGCATCATACTATCACAAGTGCCCAGCTGAATAGGATTCTGTTGATGTGTGAAGGTGAAGTCAGCTGTCAGGTATATTAGGAAAGGAAGACGAGAGGCTGGTGCCCAGGAAGAGTTTTATCATGACAAATGCATCGGTTAAAATCCAGCCAGTACCAATTGCTGTTCCAGATGCAGATGCTGTTGACTTTCTCTTTTCTCTATTCAGGTCTTAACATGCTGTCATCAGTGTCGCAGATGACTCGCATTGGTATATGTGAATTAGTATTTTCAAGCTAGCTCATGCCAGAGAAGCCGTGTTACAAAGGTGTACTCAGAACAGTTAGGGGATGAGCAGTCAATGAGATGGGTGACCCACGCTGCCCAAGCTCTGGCATGAACAGTGCTTAAGCTTAAAACATCAGTATCACATGTGGAGAATAGCTGAGGTGAAGCTCAGCTCACTCTTTAGGTTAATAATGCACTAAACCCAAGACTTTTAGATTGGTCTGAACTGTGGAAAGATTCTAACATGGAAGCAATAGTTACTGATTCTGCACAGTGTTTCCCATGGTCATTCCTCAGCAGCAGGCTGCTATTGCACTTCTAGGCCTTGGATGGCTTTCCATCCCAAAGAGCTAACGGGGCAGGGGTTGCTCAGGAAGAAGAAAAGTGTTGACGCAGCAGTTCTGCTGCTTTTACAACAGGGAGAGGGCTGGGATGGAAATCTGCATCCTTTGCAAGAAAGACCTGGAGCAGTTGTGAACCTACTGGCATCTCATTTGGCAGTGCCTCTCTGCTTTCTTCTGTTGCATTGACCCTGCTCTCACGTTGCCTTCACATACTACAAATACACTATCGTTGCCCCACTGCTGGAAAATACAGTCAGTGACACAAGACCTTTCTCCAAAGATATCCTGTGCAGATTTGTGTACAAACTCATGCTTTGTGTTTTGAATTAGTTCTTGACTTTTTCTTAGGGATTAATTTACTTTAAAACTCAAAGAAGTGACTGGTTCAGTAGCTAAAGTCACAAGATCTCTTCAGTCATAGTTGGATACCTTCTAAATGACTAAGAAAAGTTAACTTTTCCTTCACTTTTGTTCCAGTGAATGGCTTTTGAGGAAAGTTAAAAGAGGCATGTGAAAATACAGACTTCAGTATCAGGTATCTCTATGACAGCTAGACCTGAATGCACTGCTCTACTTTTGGAATAGTCTCTAGAAACAGAATTTTGAAATAGGGAAGACCAACACTTGCCATTTTTTTTGAAATAGCATTATTTAGACATGTCATGCATCATTTTTACTTAGCAAGCACTTTACAGAAAGCTTTTTAGTTAGTGTTTAGACTACTTTCATTTGACTCATAAATGCATTTTTCTTAGATGCCATAAATATTTTTAGAACCTCCAATATTTTTTTCAATTTGTCAGTTTTATGCAGGATTTTATATATGCACGTCAAAGCTAGGAAGGCTTTCTTTTTTGTAATACTGTGCTTACAAACTATACTGATGCTTGTGATTTTGTAAACTGTTAATGGATGAAGTGATTCCAGCAAAGCCCTGGTAACCTAATCACTGCTGAAAACAGCGTGGGAAGGAGCAAAGGGGAATTGTCTCTACACCAGTACTGCACTTGGGATAAAAGCTAGATATGTATGATGGCATAAATAGTCTGTGAGTCAAGTAATCTGGGAATCTGCAAGACTGAGTCAGGCGTATAACTGGGGGTGTCACTGGGTGATTCCTAGTCCTGTGATCTGGTCACACCTTCCTCCTACTCTTTTTTTTTTTCTTTTTCTTTTGTTTTTTTTTTTTTTGAGAAACTTGACCACAAGATCATGTCTGTCACATCCTCTTCGGAGTGCCTGGGCTGCATTTTCTTAGCACAACAGAAAAGAAAGAGTAGCTGAATCCCCCCTTCCCTCTCCTTAAAACCAAAACACAACAGGCTGGACAGCACTTGTGCTTATTAATAGCGTGACTTTCTGATTAGTGCTCTCCCAACCCTGTACCAAAACAAAGGGGAAGGAGGGAATGGTTACTTACTTTTTGGTCAGTCACTAATACGTTATCTGGGGCTTATAACATATGCTAAGCAGAAACATCCATTTTTGTGTCCGTAGCACCAGCGAACAATTTCTGATTAGAGATTGTGTAGTTGAGAACTAACTGTGAACGGGTATGTGCAGCTGTCCCTCTCACACCTTGGAACAGGCTGTGTCTCCTGCGTGTGACCCAGTGATGCCCTCTTCCATCCCGCCTTGACTTGTTCATTCAGACTGAAGTGGCAGCACACCTTGAACACTCTTTTGATCCAGACCACTTCTTGTGCTGAGTGTTTTTTCGAATACTGCTTATCATCCCATAGGGATATGAGAAACACAAAGCTTCCTTGTGTTCCACAGGGGGTCGGATGCAGCGTGTCACGCTGCAGCTCACAGGGCACCTACTCTAGTTTCTTTCAGACGTGGATTCAGAAACCTCCTGGGTATTTGGTGTCTGAGTCACTCAGGTTCAGAGGCTATGTAGTGGTGTGTGATGCTTTCAGAGCTCTGCATCACAGATGCACATTTGTTGCTACCCCTCAAACTGTGATCTTCTCATCACAGCTGGCATCTCGCTCACGTTGGTAGCATCTGTGCCTGGAAACACCCAAGTACCTTATGCACTTCATGTCAGCCCAGACTCCTGATGCTTATACACTCACAGTTCAGTGAGGAGCTACCGCAGAGGAACAATTCTCACATCATTACCAACACTAAACATTTCAAGTGAAACACTTAGAGCCTTTTTTTTTTTTTTTCCTGAACTCATAAGGGCCTTTCCCCAGAACTCCTCACTTAGAAAGCATTTGTTTCCAAATTAGGATGGACCAGGTTATTATTACTGTGAGAATCCTTCACTTATTTGTTAATTTACTTTTGAAACAGTGATGATATTCTTGTTATACAGTGTAACATGTCACAGAACTTGCATAAAAAGTCAGCCTTTACATAACTGATGCTGAAGTATAAACTTTTTTATGAAATGTGAGTGTATATATGTATTTCTTTCTATTTAAATCCAAGATACTGATTTTTCCAGAAGGCACCTGCACAAACCGATCTTGCCTGATCACATTTAAACAAGGTGAGAGATTTTGTCACATCATTGTTGGAAATAATGTATATTAATTTGGTAGTTCTAGTAAGGCCTATACTTCTCAGGTACATAATCCACAACAGCACTGTAGTAGTGGTTTACATCATTAAAGTTTCAGTGGCACTAAACTAAACTATTTTATAGTAGAGTTTACTTTCCTGATTTTTGGTATTTTGTTGGATGCAGAATACCTATGATGTATACGTTAGTTGGTTGGGGTTTTTTCTGGGTCAGTTTTCATCTAATTTATTTACCCAGAAACTTACCTGTGATTATTATGAGATGAACTACAAAAATACATGCTATTTATTATGTTCTTTCAGCTCAATTTACACTCATGCCATCTTAGATTCCTGTAAATTTTGCCATGCAAAACTTAGCAACCAAGTTATGAAATCTCTTTGCATAGTGCTTAACAAGTCAGGCCAATACATGATTTTTAACACAGAAAGGTACTTGAATGCATCACTGATCATTAGACTGTTGTGCTGCACTTCAATTAAAGCCATGTTGCTCTCCTTTCTTACTTTCTTACAATGTCTTGGGTAGCAAAGTTACAAAACCAGTATTACATGCCCAATCCATATCACTTATGAAGATGATCAAAACAGAGAAGGGTTTGGGAAGTGCTCAACAGCCTTGTGAGCATCTAATCCTTTGAAACAAATGCTAATCAATGGGTATATAATACACAGAAAGTGAATTTGAACAGTTCAAGAATCTTAGACAGCTTTCTCCTTGAATTGGAGACTAGCCCTTTCCTGCTCTGACATCTTGCTAGTTGTGCTGCTGATTCAAAAAAGAAAACAAACCAAAACAACAACAAAAACCCCAAAACAACAACAGAAAAGCACAACAAAAAGAACACTTCCTATTCTTCTTGCCCTTTTAAAAAATTCTTCCAGATACCATGTCTTACATTATTTACTTAAAACTCTCAACTGCTGTATTAATCTTAGTCGTAACAATCAATCTTAATTTGTGGTTACAGGTGCCTTTGTTCCACAAGTCCCTGTACAACCTGTGTTGCTCCGATACCCCAACAAGCTGGTAAGCAGAACATTTTTCTGTCACTAGTAATATGGAAGCCGAAATCCTGACTTAAATGGTACCTATGATAATTATTTTGCATTGTCACTGAAGAATCTGTTGTCTTGAGCTTTAGCATTGGAGAGCTCCTGGAAGCAACCAGGCTTCCCAAGTGTCACCACTGTGTAGTTGCTATTCTGATTGTGAAAAACTTACTGCTGGGCTGCTTCGTTAAAGAGGGAACACAGGGAAGTATTGCAGCGGAAGTTAGAAACTTCCTGCAAAGCCACAGAGCCTGTACTTTGAAGTCTAAAATGCACACAACTTCCCTACTGGTCATCATTTTTTGTTTAAGCACAAAATGCAAAGGAGCTTGCAAAGCTTATGAACAAAAGCAAAGCTGAGCCATGCAGAAGCTGCACCACCCCCTCCTTCAGGCACCTCAGGAAGGCAGCTTTGCGGATGGTTCTTTTCATGCAACTTTCCCTTGTTTTGACCGGTAAATGTTTACACTTTCTGCCAAGCTGAGGGGTACAGATGTATGTCTCTGCTTCACTGACAGGTGTAATGCTGGGACATGAGTCTAACAACTTGTTAACTTTTTTTAAACTATGTGGTCATCCAACAAATCCAGAAAAGACCAAATTTTTAATTCCTAATAGTTTTTAAGATGAAAAACAAGTGATATTGTTGTTGTTATTTATAAAGATTGCTTTGTAAAATCCTTTTACAAATCAATTTCGAAACTGAAGTGAACCACTAAAGGGAACCAGTATCATATTTTTCTGATAGGATTTAAGGATCTGCAGTATATATTATAATAATTATATATAAAAAGAAATAAACATAGAATAAGGGAAAAAAAAAAGGCAGAGAAAAAGAATGATAGATTACCTATGCAGAAGTGTCCTTAAAAACTAAATCAAACATATCTATGAGGGTGCCTTTCTAAAATCACTGGTGAGGTCATCTGAAAAAGTTTTACTAGATTATTTTTTTTTCTCCTTCTGTTGTTTGGATCAGAATCAATGATTTTAAATATTTAAGTAACTATATAAATTTTATGCCCAATTGTTGATATTTTCAAAAGTCTGCCATGTTTATTTCCAAATTTTTAAGGCAAGAAATCCTAGTTGCCTCAACATCTTTATTTATTTTCACTACAGGATGATAAAACCATCATCTGCTTTTACTAAACTAGTGCCTGTTATATTTTGTAACTTACCTGCTCCCTAACTGTCATCTGATTTTGTCATACATTTCTGTGTTTTATTTCTGTTCTCAGGATACTGTGACCTGGACATGGCAGGGTTATTCATTGTAAGTTTCTTAATCCTACTGAAAATTACATACAGAATTTTCTTCCCCCATTGCTAAACAGTCTGCCAAACAGATTCAGCTAAGCCAAGACACATGTTCTTCTAGATCTGTTTTTATGATGGGGAAATATTTGGGAATAATGTTGTCATGATTTCGTATCTGAATGGCTAGAGGAAGGGTTTGCAAATGGGGAAGCATTATTTCCCTCTATCACTGTTTTGTTTAATTTTTTCCTGTTTTGCATGTTACACTAGAGCAAAAGAAAGATTTTAAATTCTTTTGCTTTGGAAAAAAATTACAGTCACCAAACCCATAGAAGTTTACAGTTTCCTACATAGTATACAAACTAGAAGAAATAAATGTTGTTTTATCCCTCTGTTTATTCATTCCTCCATCGCATTAGAAGTCATATGAGAGTAAATGAAGAATGTGAGCAAAACAAGTAATAATTTTCCCCATTCAAATATCTAGGATTCTTCTTTAGATTTTTATTTTTGCCTGACTGAACAAAAGCAATTCTTTTGAGATCCCAGTGAAGAGACTATATATAGTATCTGAGATTGAAGTAATGAAATACTGAAAAATATTTCAATAAACCCATTAGGCAATGGATCTGTGTTTATTTCTCAACACAGGTGGCCTTCTAGTATGCTAAAATATTTTATTAAGTATTAAAAAAACCTTTACAGCTGCACTGAAAATGTGTTGAAAATACATTTCACCTGATAAACAACCATTAAAATGTGGATTTGCAGAATCCATATACCACTTTTTCAGTGAAATATGTAGTGTAAGTACAGTAATACTGATTTACTAAGTGACTAAAATTCTTAATTTTGAAATATGACTGAACTAGTGGAGCAGATCATAAGCACCTTTTAAGCTATCATTAGTTAATCCTATCCACTGCACACTTATAGAATGGACATTATGAAAGCTGACCTAGATGAAAATGCCTATCTGTTTCCCGATAATTTTTTGCTATTATTATTACTGGTGTTACAGTTATCAGCATATTGAGAGTAATGAACATTGCAAATTCAGTAGCATACTACAGCATTCCCCTACGAAAGATTAATGCTGGAAGGCTGAAAAGGAGTTATAGCTTCAGTTATGAGAGATTGTATAAGAATAGGTGAAGAAAGAAGTTAAATCGGAGGTATTCCTGTGGAAGGGAGGAGGCTGCCCATTCACTAAAAACTGAGAAATTCTCTAAGCTTGGTGGCTGGATGATGAAGGATCAGATTGAAACCTATGAGAAGATGAAAGGAGCAGCTTAGCAAAATCATGGGAAGAGATGGATGGAGTACAATCTAGAGATTCTTAACAAAAATAACTGGAACCAGGAGAAGAACATTCCCCGCACAAACTTGCAGGTCACAAAATGCAGAACTGTCAATCTTTCTCAAAATTCCTGGATATTGCAGCCACGATGGGACAGTACCAGTCTCCTTCTCAGAAACCTCCTGACCCAGTTTCTTCTTTCACTTACTACTTTTTACTTTTGTGCCTTACTGGGAGGAATACATAATGTTATGTGGTAGAAAATCAAGTGTTAAGAGTGGATTCCTAAAGAAAGTAAAAGGAATCCCTTAGCTGTTATCCTGCCTTTTCCTTTTCTCTTTTTTATTTTGTCCAAAACAAGAACAGAAGAAAGATTGCTTGAAGGTTTTCTGTTGTAACTTGCCTGATTTAAAGATCAAATATGCATTTCTGCTTAAAAATTACAGTGAAAAGAACAAGTCAGAAGTGGAAGTGATTATACTTATCCTCTTTCACAGTTTCTTCCTCCCCCTAGCTGTTGATACTAAAATTTGTGACTTTTTTTAAAAGCACTCATGGTCCCGAGCATACTGACCCTTCATTAACACATTTGTGTAAACACTACTATAATTTGCAAAATGGCTAGCAAATACCAACAAATCCTTGTTTCAGTTCTGCAGAAGTTACTGGTCCCATTTTGCAGATGAGAGAATAAAAAAATAAAGCTACTTCTCAGAATCAGAGCTTTTAAAGCTTTAAAATACAGTAGGTATTCACCTCTTTAAAGATAAAGTAACATACAGCCATGTTGCTGGCCAAAGAACTGTGGAGTGTTGTTAGTATGCGTGACAACAGAGAAGTTGCCTGTCCCATGAGTAAGCAGTGGGTATATACAGGAGCCCCATAGGAAAAATGTTGAACGCAACATTCCAGGCAACTTTGCTGCAGGTACATAAAAACCTCACCCAATGTTGGCTGTGTTTTTGTCAATGCTTTAAAACGTTTAATCTACCTATGTGCAAATAACTTTGTTTTTAAATAAGTAAAATGTGGTTTTCTTTCTCTTTGCCTGCAGAAAAGAGCTGTGCGTTATGACACTGTGTCAGCTGTTCACAAGAGTAGAAGTTGAGGTAAGAATGAGAAATATTTTTGTACCAAGATTCAGCAACCACTGAATATAAATGCATTATTCACATTATTAATCACTGTCAATGAATAATAAACAAATGTCTTAGACACAAGAACAGAATCACGGTAATATATTTAAATTTGTTGTCCATATTTCTGTAACACTTAATCTGATGAATTCCTAGAAGAAAGTTGTCAGAAATGCCTTTATTTTTAAAGCACTGTAAAATCATTGTTTATTATCACCACATGCATTTTACAGATGTTAAAAGTAAGAAATACAATACGTTCAGTTAAAGGTTACAACTTCTTTTTCCCACCTTCTGATTTCCCTGATGACTTCAAAGTTTCCTTGTGATCCTCACTGTCTTCCCAGACTGAACTCTAAAAGGTTTCTGCAACTAAGAGCTTATTTAAGGACTCTAGTACTTGTACTGAGCCTTGTATAATGAACCAGTTCCCTTGATCATCAAAATCAGCTGCGCACCACAAAGACAGATGAATGACAACTGAAACAACATGCACACTTCATAATACTAGTACACATACTCTAACTGCTCTCTGCCAAGGAGTCAACATTTAGAACACAGTAGTGAAGAGCCAGGTAACTGAGGTGCCATCAGTTTAAGTGTAGTACTTCACATTCCTCACCAGACCACAAAGCATTGTCGGCATGGACTAAATCGGTTTAGGGACCCGAGGAATGGGAGAAATACAGACAGGTTTTGCTGTTTATTTGCAGAACACAGAATTTAGCAAAGCTTTGGCTTTGTGAATGCAAGCAGTATTGCTAGTACTAACAATTAACAATATGGCCTTTGTTGTGAAACAGTGAAATTCATATTAAAGGAGCACCTTCTAACTGTACAGTACATGCAGTAGACACGTATTTTTAGGTGTACTAAGGAGCTAATTCTCCTAATGATTCTGTATAGAAGGAAATATTTATGTGATTTATACGTGTGGGAGCAAGAAATAGTTAATGTAGCCCTCCCAGTAAAAGGTTTGTTTTCCCCTGCTTCAGAACAGAATTCAAATGTTCCAAAAGGTGAAACTGAAACATGAAAATACATGCAGCTTTCAGAGCAGCATGTGTCCCCAAAGTGGAAAAATTTCTTAGCATCAATGCAGAAGTCCTTCCATTTCTAAAAAGAGAAGAGGCAAATTTGCCTGGGAAGGAGGGAATCAGACTACTCCTTTTAGGAATGGACATTTCTGTCGCTGTCCCATACCGTGAGCGAGTAGCCTCTCCACTCCCATGAGTCTTGTGCTGCCTCTGCCTACTGTGCACCAGCAGCGCTGTACTCCTGCAGTCCACGGGAGTGTGTGTGCCTGTCCAGTCATATTCTAACAAACTCTGGATATTGAAGATTAAACAGTGAACCTGGCAGTGAGGCTTAGGGCTGCATAAGAATACAGCATTTGGCAAATTCTGTAAGAAGAGACAATAGGTCAGAAGCAGATCAGAGAAGTATTTTTTGCTACTGAAAGAGCTGTGAAGAATTTTTCTTACAGGACTGCAATTTGACAGGGAAGGCGTACTGACTAGCCTTCACCAGATAAGCAGCTGGGTGTGTGTGAGATCATGCACGCCACCTCAGGAGGTCAAGAAACCAAATTCTTCATCCCCAGCTGTGGTTTCTGGCAAACTGGTTTTATGAATAATTGTAGGTAGGTTTTTTGAAGGGGACAAAGGTGTTGTTTAACCTGCCAGAAATTTAGGTTGCTGTCTGAGCAAGACCTTAGCCTCAAATGATGTAATAACCATGACCATGACCCATGTTTGCATAGATAAACTTCTGAGTTATAACTTCATCTCACCCAGTGATGACACAGTTTCCTGTGTCTGTACAGTGTGCCTGTGCTTCCTCGATTTAAGATTATGTAGCTTCTGAAGGGAAGTTGTAATAGGTAGGAACGTATGTCAGACCTTGAACAGAGCTGGCAACTGCTTACAGAAGGAATGAAATCTCAAACCTTCCTGTGAACATCTGGACCCCTGCTGTCCTTAAAGGGTAGAAGACTTTTAGGTGTAAACAGAAGATTGTTTGGGCTATCTGACATATAACTGATTCCATAAACTTACTGGTTTTAATCATAAAGAGGCAGTGTTCCTTAAAAACAAACATAAAAAGGCTGCTGAAGATGGGCTGCATATATATGAGACAGTAACCACTATATTAGTGCATCACCAGCAACTGCAGTATAACTGAAAAAACATATTAACACATAATTAGCAATTGTGTCTTTAAATGAACCATGAGCAACACAACACTTCACACTTAATCTAGAATTGGTGTATTCTTAGATTTAAGGGCAAGATTGCAGGGCGGAGAATAGCAGACTCAGATGAATGATAACAAAAACTGAGAAAAGGCATGGTAAACAGGGCTGCAAGCAAACGCTGTAGACTGAAGTATAGAGAACAAAATACTTACACACATTACTTTGCAAACAAACAGATGCTGATTCATGCTATGTTAGATAATAATTCATCTATAGTACATTTTTAGTGTAATACTACTTCAGCTTCTTACATATTAACATTGAATAAATCCTCAACTGTAAATGTATTGCCATTTAGATATCTAGGGTGTTTTCTACGTTTGGGAGGGTGGGGGGG